TCCAGTACAAAAATGGCATATATACATGCTATTGACAGTTGTGTCTGGATCATGTGAATTCATTCATAGCATTATTTAGATATTTGATGAAGAATGGGAGAAAGATTTGAATCATCTTAACTTTGACTTGTTAAAGTCAGGTCAGGCTATGATGCTTGCTATAATTCACCTTCCCAGATTCATTATGTCATCTGAGTCAAAATTATATCAACTTGGATTTATTCATACATTACATCAAATGTATTGTGTCTTTGATATCTATTTGAATATGAATAGGTAGGAGAGACAATAATAATAATTCATCAAGTAACAAGTCAAAACAGAGTTAAACAAGAAGTCTTATGGTATAGTTGATTTGGTTCTACAGTGAGGTGGATTTAAGAGCGAAAGCTCCATTTTCCATTTAAGTAAATTTTCCAACACACAATCTTCATCTACATGTTATAGCCAGGAATATGTCTTTTCTCAGAACTTCTAACCCAACTGATTAAAAGACTGACAGCTGGGTGAAGAAAATACAACCTTATAGTTAGTTGCAGGAAGTCAGTTTTTCAGTCAGGGAAAGAGATGCTTGCCTTGCACCCAAGTTATAAACAGAGCAACAGAATTCCATTGCTCGCCACATCACTTTCAGCTTCAGCATTCTCTAAGCACAACAAAAATCTAGGCCTTCAGTTTATTTCAGCCATCTGTTATGGGAATGACAAGATAAAGACACTGGAAATCACTGAAGAATTTGTATTCAGTAAGATTGTGTCTCTAAAGAAAGGAGTCTCTCCCAGATATATTTTAAAAAAGTAAAGAAAGTTAACGGAAGTTACTCTCATTTAGAGAATTTCAGAAACACTGGCTTTCTTCTTCCCATACAGTGTTCTTTGTATGTGTCATTTCTTACTGTAAATGTCCTTTGTACTCACAAAAAGCAGAAGAATAATATACACATAAAAAGTGACCCATGTAACTGCACAGACTAGGTATTTCTTTTGCTGACAAGGATATGGGTCTTTCTTCTTTTTAAAATATGTTTTTTTTATTGTAAAGATACTATATACAAAGGAGGAGGTAACAATGCTTGATAGGAAATGTACTCATTGCCTTACTCATGTAACTGTAACCCCTCTGTATAGTATTTTATTTTTTATTTTATTTTAAATTATGTTTTTATTGTAAAAATAGTATACAGAGGGGTTACAGTTACATGAGTAAGTTAATGGGTACATTTCCTAACAAGCATTGCTACTCCCTCCTTTAATTTTCCCTTATCATCCCTTCCCTCCCTACCTCTCCAACTCCTGCCTCCCCCCAAAGTTGTAAAGTTCATTTTCAGCATAGTGTCCTGTACATCTCATTGTTACAATGGGTCAACCTGTATCCTTGTTTCAGCATTTTGTTATTTCCCTTACCCTCTCCAAATTAGAAAAATGTATATACAAGATTCAGGGCACTGACATCAAATACAGTGAAAACAGGGATTATATCTTGGGGGAAGAACATACAAAAGACACAAACAAATCACATAGTACATTAAAAACAACAGCAACAAGGAAAAATAAAAACCTCTTCTGTCCATATCTTGGGACTCATTTTGCTTAGCATCATCTTATATGGTCATATGCACATAGGTTTTGAGCTTTTCTGCTTGTCTGGTAAGATTATCCTAGATGTATACTAGTTATTGCAAATAAGGGAAACCATGGGACCTATGTTTCTGTGGGCCTGTCTGGCTTACTTCACTTAATATAATTTTTCCAAGTCTTTCCATTTCCTAACAAATGGGGCAATGTCATTCTTTCTGATGGAAGCATAGAATTCCATTGTATATACATACCACATTTTCTTGATCCATTCATCTACTCAGGGACATCTGGGTCGATTCTGTATCTTAGCTATGGTGAATAAAGCTGTGATAAACATAGTTGTGCTGATAGCTATAGTGTGGCCTTGTTTGTGATCATTTGGATAAATGCCCCAATGTGGGATTGTTGGGTCATAGGGGAGCTTTATGTATAGTCTTTTGAAGACCCTCCATACTGCTTTCCAAAGTGGTTGAACTAGTTTACACTCCCACCAACAATGCAGTAGTGTTCCCTTTTGGTCACATCCCTTCCAGCATCTGTTGTTATTAGACTTCTTGATTATAGCCATTCTAACTGGGGTGAGGTGGAATCTCAATGCTTTTTGATTTGCATTTCTTTTATGACTAGAGAGGGACTTTCTTCTATATATAAGGATCTTAATCTTACAAAAGGATTAGATTCAGAGAATACTCAGTATGAACGTCCAATTAGCAAGAACAACAAGAGAAAAATGTCAAAAAAGTCATGGCAGTAAAACTAAAAATGGCTGGGAACAATTTCTTTACAGAGCAAAGCCAAGAAGACATTAAAAACACCTGTATTTCTTTCTTTTCAAGTAATGAACAAATAAATGTAGAGAATATGTTTATCTGTTTAACAGTAAAAACAAATAGCTCCATGGTAGAAATACTAAAGAGAATGCCTAATTCTTGTAATACTCAGTGTAAGGAGATACAGATGAGAGAAAGAAATAAAACCGGGATGATTAAGTAAAAGCAATATTGACAAAGGTGCATCCTTCTCTAAGGTCCAAGCAATGCCATTTCTCTCATGCTGGATTTTTGTTTTGTTTTGCCTTTTTTTTTTTTTTTTTGGTGTAGTAAAACCCAAAGCCTTCCACATGCTAGGAATGTTGTCAACTGGCAAGCTACATTCACATTCATTTCATGAATAGACTTCTTGTCAAGATGTATTTTCCTTGGACCTCAGGATTTATAGGATGTTCTTAGCGAACAGGAACAACACAGCAGCTATTCTCCTTATTGACATACTTGCTTGAGCAAAGCAAGACATAAACAGTTAGAATATGTTGTTAGCTATTGAAATAAAGATAGACAAAATGTATGTTTTTGCATTCATTTCCTATCACTGTGTGTCTATGAATAAATAAAGTGAGAGTTTTCTCTTATTCATTTCACTTTGATTTTAGCTACTTTCAGGAGTATCTGACAATATTTCAGAAACAGTTGGATACTTATTCTTGGAGAAGTAACTCATTTGTTTTATTTCCTTACTAGTCATTTTATTGCATTGATATTGAATTTCTTTTTTTTACGTTCAGTTCATAGCTATGCTGCATGGCTATAATAGCACCTATTTTCTTATTTTAGATTAAAAATTTTAATATATATATTATTGTAAAGATACTTTACAGAGGGGTTACCGTTACATGAGCAAGGTAATGAGTTCATTTCCTATCGACCATTGTTACCCCTCCTTTGTTTTTCCTCTACCATCCCTTTCTTCCCACCTCCCCAACCCCTCCCCCCCTGCAAACTTGTAAAGTTCCATTTCAACATAGTGTCTTGTACATCTCATTGTTATAATGGGTCAACCTGTATCCTTTTTTCAGGTTTTTGTTATTTCCCTTACCTCCCCAAATTAGAAAAATGTATATATAAGATACAGGGCACCGGAATCAAATACAGTGATAACAGCGATTATACCATGGGGGAAGAACATACAAAAGAAACAAAAAAATCACATAGTATATTGTAAGTACATTAAAAACAACAGCAAGAAAGATAAAGCCTCTTGTGTCCCTATCTTGGGGTTCATTTTGCTTAGCATAATCGAATATGGTCATATGTCATAGCTTTTGACCTCTGGAAAAATTATATTAAATTAAGTAAGCCAGGTCCAAAGAAACATAGGTCCCATGGTTTCCCTTATTTGCAATAACTAGTGTATGTCTAGGACAAGCAGAAAAGGTCAATAGCACCTATTTTCGACAACATTTTGGGTAATATAGGCTGAACTTGGCTTATAGTATATACAAAACATTCTTTTCCTGAATTTAAAGTGGCAAAATGAATTCAGAAAATTTGTTTAAGGGTAGTCTTTCCCAAATAAACTGCAACTGGTCACATTAATCACTAGATATATGATTTTAAAGAAAAAAATTTTTTCTCAAAAATTAATTTGCACTAACAGCCATATTTGTTAGGCAAACACTGTAGCTCACCCTTGGTCTTGGATTCCTAACTTAACCATGTGCTTGATTTTATTTTCTGTTTGTTTTTAAAATTTTATTGCAAAGATACTGTACAGAGGGGTTATAGTTACATGGGTAAAATAATGAATACTTCACTGTCCAGCATTGTTACCCCTCCTTTGTCTTTCCCCTACTATCCCTTCCCTCCCCACTCCCCCTTTTCCTCTCTCCCCTACCCCATGTTGTAAAGTTCATTTTCAACATAGTGTCTTGTCTCATTGTTACAATGGGTTAACCTGTATCCTTGTTTCAGCATTTTGTTATTTCCCTTACCCTCTCCAAATTAGAAGAAAATATATACAAGATGCAGGGCACCGGAATCAAATACAGGGAAAACAGGGGTTATACCATAGGGGGAAGAACATACATAAGAAACAAACAAATCACATAGCACATTAAAAACAACAGTAACAAGGAAAAAGCCCCTTATGTCCATATCTTGGGACTCATTTCGCTTATCATCTTATATGTTCGTATATGCATCGCTTTTGAGCTTTTCTGCTTGTCTGGTAAGATTATCCTAGTTGTATACTAGTTATTGCAAATAAGGGAAACCATAGTTCCTATGTTTTTTTGGGTCTGGCTTACTTCACTTAATATAATTTTTTCCAAGTCTTTCCATTTCCTAACAAATGGGGCGGTGTCATTCTTTGTGATGGAGGCATAGAATTCCATTGTGTGTGTGTGTGTGTGTGTGTGTGTGTGTGTGTGTGTGTGTGTGTGTGTGTGTGTGTGTGTGTGTATCACATTATCTTGATCTATTTACCTACTGACGGGCATCTGGGTTGGTTCCATATCTTTGCTATGGTGAATAATGCTGTGATAAACATAGTTGTGCTGGTACTTTAGTATGGCCTTGTTTGTGATAGTTTGGGTAGATGCCCAGAAATAGAATTGCTGGGTTATAGGGGAGCTCTATGTGCAGTCTTAAAAATATGAAATGCTTCATGAATTTGCTTGTCATCCTTGCTCAGGGACCATGCTAATCTTCTCTACATCATTCCAACTTTAGTAGATGTTCTGCCGAAGCGTGCACTTATTTTCTGTTTTAAAGGAATTAATCCAGCAATAGCTGGATTTGGACTGATAATTGTGTTTTCTAATGAGATAAAACAAAGTCAGACATTAGAGACATGGCTAAAATGAAAATAATACTGCAAAGAAATATATACCTGCCAATCCTGTGGAGAGTGGATAGCACAATAATATTGCAGTGTGCATGATGTTTAAAAGGATTAAAGAACAGCAATCAAACCCTGTAAGTTGTTCTTCAGATAGACTAGTGTTCACATAGCAGGTGCTGATTCTATCTAAGAATTACCGTAGTTTGTTAACCATCAATCTCTTTCTGACTATGAATTTGTGTATTCTGGATATATCATAGGAAAAGAACCAACAAGGCTTCATGGGTTCAAGGCTCAGTCCTCAGTTTGCCAGGGTTGGGATGATGGAACCTTTAAGAGACAGACCTAGAGGGAATGGTTAGCTCTTTGGAATTTTTCCCTCAGAAGAAATTAATGTGTTTCTAAAGGGATTGCAGGTAGTTCCCATCAAAGCAAGTTGTAATGAAAGGACAAGAATGGCTTCTTGTCTTACCGAGGATCCTGTGACATGTGTTCTAGCCATGGTACCATCTTCCTTGAGGCCTTCCCAGAGGCTGAACAGAGAAAGCTCCTCTGATCTTGGACTTTTATGGTCCAAATTATATGCTACATAAACTTCATTTCATTATCTACTATGCAACCTCAGATATTTTGCACACATACCCACCACCACTTAGCATGGTTTGTTTATCGTTTATTCATTAATGATTATTTGAGTTGTTTCTGCCTTTTTGCTATTATGAATAACACTGGTGTGAACATATGAGTACAAGTTTCTCTGTGAACGTCATTTCACTTGGGTATAAATCTAGAAGCAGATTTTCTGAGTCATATGGTAAATTCTGTGCTTGCCTTTTTGAGAAACAAGGTTTTCAATAATGGCTGAACCATTGTGTGCATATACTAGTTATGTAAAAGGATTCTTTTATACGCTCCAGCCAGCATTTATTTTTTAAATGTAAAGATATTCTTTTTTTCCTTTAAAAATTATCTTTAAGTAGTTGTACAATGGAGTTGCTATTTACTAATATTATTTTATATTTATTAATACGCTATATCTTGATCAATGTTACCCCTTTCAAAATCCATAGTATAGTGTGGTGTAACATGCATTTATTTTCTTAATGTCCAATGTTGTTAAATATGAATTTCTTCATGAGTTCTCTTTGGAGAAATATCTATTCAAGTTCTTATATTTAGGTCATTTATCCTGTTTTGAGTTGACTTTTGGTAGGAATCCAGATCCTTTGCTTTTTTATTTGACTATTGATTTGTTCCTCCTCCATATGTCAAACAAACTTCTTTCCCTATTGAACAGTACAGGTGCTCTTGTTGAAACTCAATTAGCCATAGATGTTTGAGTCTCTTTATGGACTCTCAGTTTTCTTCTGTTGGGTGTATGATTTTTGTTTTCAGACCAGTAAAGTGAATTTTCAATTCAACATGTCAATTTATGAGTACAATGTATCTTGATTGATGTCATCCCTTGATCTTCTCCCTGTCATCCATCCTGACACTTATGCCAGTACCATGATGTTTGGTAATTTACTAACTTTATAGCAAGTTTTGAAAATGAATAGCGTAGTTTCTTGAACTATATTTTACTTTTAAAACATAGTGTTGGGTATATGCAATGCCATATGAATTTGAGGGACTGTGTATTATTTAAGGGAATTTAGTTATCTTTACAATTAAGTCTTCCAGTTCGTGAACATGGGATGGATTTCCTCTTATTTGGGTCTTTAATTTCTTTCAATAATGTTTGGTAGTTTATAGTATGAGTACGTCTTCTACCATCTTGGCTAAATTTATTTTTAGATGTTTTATTCTTTTGGATACTATTATGAAATAAAATTGCTTTCTTAATATTCTTTACAGTTTTATTGTTATTTTGTAGAAATACAGCTCATTTTTGTGTGTTGGCTTTATAGCTTGCAACATTGCTGAAATTCTTTATTAGCTGTTGAAGGGTTTTCTTTTTATCACTCTAAACTTTATGTGATTTTGTATACTTAAAATTATATTATCTGTGAATAGAGATAATTTTAAATCTCTATGCTTCTAAGAACCACCATCAATCTGGAGCATAGGCCTGAACAAAGGCAAGTAGAAGTGGTCCAAGTAGGGATACGTGTCTTATTCCTAGTCGCAGAGGAAAACATTTCTTTCATTATTGATGATAGTTGTAGGTTTTTCATAAATGTCCTCTTAGACTGGTAGGATAGCTCCAATATATAGGAACTGGACAGTATATAAAAGGTCCAGGTTTAATTATCAGCATTGAGAAATGACAAGAGTAAGTACCCTTTGCCATGTTAAAGAAGTTCCCTTCTCTGCCAGAAGCTGAGCTCTAATTATAGAGGTTCCAAGCCAGTCGGGGAAGGAAAGGTTGTGAGACTTCTTATCTCCAATTAACCACCAGAAAACCTGAAGTGGAACTGTGGCTCAAAGTGATAGAGTACTAGCCTTACGTGAAAAAGCTCAGGGACAGTGCCGAGGCCCTGAGTTCAAGCCCCATGGTTGACAAAAAAATTCCTTTCTTTTCTACTTTTTAAGGTGATTTTAAAAAGCATGTTAAGCCGGGTGCTGGTGGCTCACGCCTGTAATCCTAGCTACTCAGGAGGCTGAGATCTGAGGATCGCGGTTCAAAGCCAGCCCGGGCAGGAGAGACCGTGAGACTCCTATCTCCAATAAACCACCACAAAACCGGAAGTGGCGCTGTAGCTCAAGTGGTAGAGCGCTCGCCTTGAGCTGAAGAGCTGAGGGACAGCGCCCAGGACCAGAGTTCAAGCCCCACGACCGACAAAAAAAAAAAAAAAATAAAATAAAATAAAAAAGCATGTTATGAAAAGATGCAGAATTTTGTCAACTGTTTCTTATATATTAAGATGATCAGGTAGATATTAAGTGATGTTTTATGTTACTATTATATCTCGAATCATCCGTGTACTCTTGAATTATATTCTATTTAGTCATGTTGCACATTTTTTTGCATTTGGCTTGTTATTATTTTGTTGAATAATTTTGCATGTAAGACAATAATGGACACTGACCAATAAGTTTTCTTCTGATGTTTCTGTCTGGATTTTGTATAAGAGTAATGCTGATTCCACAAAATGTATTAAGATATGATCTTCTCTCTCTCTCTCTCTCTCTCTCTCTCTCTCTCTCTGCTTGAGAATACTTGCTATTCTTTTCAAAATTTTGGTAGAATTTAGTAGTAAGATAATACAGTCCTAAACAATTACTTTGTGGGTAGTTGATTGCTAACTAAATCTCTTTACTTGTTATTGCTTCCTTATCTACTTTTTGATTTTCTTTTTTTATTTAAATTTTATTGGGAAGGTGATGTACAGAGGGGTCACAGTTACATAAGTAAGGTAATGAGTACATTTCTTTTTGAACAGTGCTGACCTCTCTCTCATTGTTTTGCACTTCCCCCTCCACTCCTCTCCCTCCCAGTTGTAAAGTTCATTTCCAACCTAGTGTCTAGTGAGTATCAGTGTGGAATTGGTTCATCCTTTGTCCCACCATTTCTGTGATTTCCCTTCCCTTCCCCATATCAGATAAACTGGTACAAGACAATGGAACAGAAATGGAGGGACAAAGAGTGAATAAATGCAGCAGTGGGACTCACTAGATAGTATGTTGAAAATGAACTCTACAACTTGTGGGCAGGGAGGGGAGGGAAAAATTGGGAGAGAGCAAAGTAAGGGGTGACATTGTCCAAAAAGGAATATACTCATTACCTGACTTATGAAACGGCAAACCCTCTGTACATCACTTTTATAATAACAATAATGATTAGAAAAAGAATTTGTTAAAAAAGAAAATCTGGAAGTGGAGCTGTGGCTCAACTGGCAGAGCAGTAGTCTTAAGCAAAAAAGCTCAGGGATAGCACCCAGGCCCTAGGATCAGCACATATACATTCACAAATTATTCGCTACTCTCTTATCTTTTATTTGATGAACACATTTACATTTAAAGTACTTGATAATGAAAGATGTATTTTCCCACTGTGCTCATTTACTATTGTCATTTTTTTTTTTTAGTTCATTCAATGTTGCCTTTTTCTGTGATTGATCAGTTTTTTTCTGGTATTCCATTTTGATGTTCTCTTCTGCTAAATTATTGTCTTAGAGCTTACTATGGTTATGATATTATAATTAACATCCTAAATTTATAACAGTCTACTTTGTAGTGATATTAACTTACATGCTCTACATACATTAATACTAAGTTTATGTTTATTTATATATTTACCTTTACTATTGATTTTGTTCTTGTTTTGTGTGACTTTCTATTTAGTATCATTTTGACTCAGCCTAAAGAATTAATTCCCTTTTGCATTTCTTATAGAGCAGGTCTACTAGCAATAAATTCACTTAGATTGTATTATCTGGGAATGTCTCTAGTTTTTCATATTTGAAAATTGGTTTTTACAGACTAAAGTTTTGGTTGGCAATAGTATTTTCTTTCCTTATTTTAAATATATTATTTCATTTCCCTTGACCTGTATAGATTATGATGAGACATATTCTGTGACTCTTATTTAGCATGCCTTGAATGTGATAATTCCCTTCTCATTTTCTTTTTTTGAAAATATTTTTAAGATTTTTCTCTTTTTCTTTGTCTTTCTTTTTTTTTTAATTTAATTTTATTTTATTTGAGAACATACTGTACAGAGGGGTTACAATTACATGGGCAGGATAATGCATACATTTCTTACCAAGCATTGCAGCCTCCTCCTTTGTTTACCCTTCACCTCCCTTCAAAGCCTTCCCCCTCCCCCCCACCCAATCCTTCCCCCCTCCCCCCTCCCACACCGACATTGTAAAGCTCGTTTTTGACATGACATTTTGTACTTCTCATTGTTGCAACAGGTCCACCTGAATCCTTAAACGACTTGTTTGTCCCCATCTCCTCTACAAGT